CTGAATCTGGTTTTAGAAATATCCACCTAAAAATGCGAAAATCATATGTTTTCAGTATATTTGAGGCTGTTACATCAGGAGATAATGTTTCTATACAAAATTCGTCATGGTATCTGAAAGTACTTCTTGTATTTTTTAAAATTCACTTTAAATCATTCGAGTAGATTTTTTCCTCCCCGAGAAACCGTTTGTTGAAGCTGATTAGTTTGGCGTAGTCGTCGATATTCGGAAATTTTACTTGACAGGTCTGTGGACTGTGGAGCTCAGTAGCCTGCTGTACTAGAAGCTTTTTGTGCTTGGAAATTCGATCTCCAGGCTTATGGTATCATACAATGACTTCAATCACCATATTGGATCCGCCAACTTGAATTTGGAAAAGGTATTGCTACATTTGGATTAAAAAAATTCAACAATTTTGGAAATATTTATAGCAAAAAGATGAGCTGAATAATTCTCTTGGGCTTGGGGGCTAAAGAATAAGTGCTATAGTGTCGAAAATTTCATATAATTTTTTCAAAATTATTGCATTATTTAATAAAATTTTTATCCATAATTTTTTATCGAAATTTCGTATAATATGTGACAATTTCTTTCTATTTCTAAATTCTAACATTTTTTTTTAGTCCAGGTGCCATAGATCCATCAGTCTGAATTTTGATAGTCTGGGTTCCGGTTCGTAATCAGCGACTCCAAAACCTGGAAAAGCAATGGGAATTTAGGTATTTGTAATTTGATCCTTCTCCCTTTCACCTGATGATTCGACTATCGACGAATACGCCAAACTAATCGATTTCCACAGACGATTCTTCGGAGAAAAAAGAAGATATTCCAACTATTCAAAAGAGATTAAGAAGGGGAAAGATATTAATTTCAGGTTCCATTACGAGTTTTGAGGAGAAAATTACCTCGTGATGTAACATAACTTTAGATATAGCGAAAAATCGGATTTTTCGTAATGTTAGGTTAGGATATCTCGAAAATCTGACATGGCAGAGCAACTTTGAGTTCGAATTCGGATTTAGCGCATGAAAAATATTCGAAAAAGTATAACGAAGTTAAAAAATTTGTCGGTGTTGCAAATTTCTAGGCTTTCGTGTATTACAGGAAATGAAAAAAGAACTATTGGAATTTCGTCTTCCTCATCGAAATCCTCTTCATGCAAGACATTTTTCAAGAATCCTACTTCTGTTTTAAACCCTATGTGGTGTCTATAACAATTTTTATTTTATTAAAGACCCAGATATGACGAGGTTCATATTTTTGTCATTACAGAATCACATTGGTCGATCCTTTAGTTTTGAGATATTTTCCTCTTCCACCCGATTGGAGGCCTCCTTAAGGAATTTCTATAAATCGGTTACTTTGTTTTTTATATTGCCGTTACCTTGTGCTCTTCCATCACCAATTCAGTCAAGTTTCCTTAATAATATCAAATTTTTCTTTAAGAAAGAAGCGATATGATGACTGTAACAAAGTTGAACATAAATCTTAAACTAACACAAATTTCAGTTGACTTATCAAAACCTCTTACTGTTTATAGGTCTACATATCTCATTAATAATAATTAGCTGTTGCAATTATCTACTTGGAGACATTTTAGGAACTTATTTACCAAACCAATTTATACTAGGTAGTAAGAGGTAAAATTGCTGGTGTTTTTCCAAGAAAGTTTTTCTAACCGTGTCTATTTTATGGGGATGATGCCATTAGCAAAATTATTATTATAGTATTAGTATTCCCATATGATTGGTTTTGAAAATTTATAAATGACCATTTAGAGGTGACTGACTTTAAATTTAGAAGTAGAAAATAATGTTTTTTTATACTTCTTGGCATATTTTAATTTGTTTTAATGATTATATTAGGTAGGTATTTAATGTTTAATACTTCCCTAATTTAATGTGGAAATAAGTCACGTTGCATTTTTGCGTGAACACTTACAATTTTTCTTATACAGTTAGCCAGTAACAATTTAAAGAAAACTCAGAAGAGTCAGTATAAAATGTTATAATCTTATTAGATTTCGAATAAGAAATTAGTGATACAATTTAAAAAACATGAAAGAATGACTCACAAGAAAACCGTAGCAGACTTACAATTCGCAATTTCGGAGAAGTTATAGTTTCCAAATATTTATATTCTTAGGATCAATTCAAAAAAATATACATGGTGGGCCACCAGTAACGGTGACTAGGGACCAAACGGCAAATGTTATACAAAACTGTTTAGATGGGTATGTGTAGGTTGATTACGGTTACATTTTAAAAATATTTTGAAATATACAGGAAAAGCATACCATATCAAAGTTATGTATTTTTAAATAGAATACCCAGTATTTTACCGCATTTTTGGAAGCACCATAAAAAGCTAGGTGAACTTTACTAAAAATTTTGCATTTTTACTTTGGGAGTTAGGAAATTTAACACTCTTTCTAACTGTGATAGGTTTCCTATACCTAACTCTAACGGTATTGGAGATGTTTGTGCCGTTTCGTTTTTTATCGATTTTTTTTTAAGATGTATCAACGTATCTTTATCGAGATCTTTATTGAATTGGTAAAGCGTCAATCATAACAATTTCAAGAAAGTCTTCTAATAAAATATATTATTTTATAAGCAGAATAATTATAAAAAGTTGTTAATTTTGTATAAATTTGTTATACGTAACTGAATTAAATTAATTAGGAATAACATGAAAAATATTTATTAAAGGAAATTTAATTTTAGAAGAAACAAAGAAAAATTTTAATTGATGATCGAATTGATAACGATTTCTCTTGGATACAGTATCTTATTAAATGACATTCTCACATTCCTTAGAATATCTAAGGTGATTGTGGCAAGTGCATCTCTAATCATTTTCTTCATATCATCACAATTAGTAGGTGTACAAGATTTTTTATATATCCCGAAACAAAGAAGTCCATTATGGTGAGGTCTGGATACCTAGGGGGCCACTGAGATGCATCATTCTTACTTATCCATTTATTACTAAACTTTCGACTTAAATAATTTCTCACTGAATATGAAAAATTTTAAGGTGCGCCATTTAATTGCATCCTCATTTTTTTCCTTATATATAAAGAGAGGTGATCAAGCAGAGCCCAAACCAATTCAATAAAGACCTCGATGAAAACACGTGGATACATCTTACAAAAAAATTCGATAAAAAACGAAACGGCACAAATATCTCCAATACCGTTAGAAATAGGTATAGGGAACTTGTACAGAGTTTTAAACTTCCAAAGTGAAAATATACTGGGTGTCCCTTTTAAAATAACCAATTTATTGCTGTTTTAAGTTGATGGAAGTATTCAGCAGCTTTTGAACACTATGTACAATACTAAGTGACAACAAATATAATACTTTATAATTTCAAAGACCTAAAATACACTCCTCAAAGTTGCTTTCTTAAAATAATTTTTTATTTCTAATATTAAATTTCTACGCTAATCCTGCATTTTCACTAAAATTGAACACAAACAATAAGTCCTAGGTATGCAGAACCTTTGATAAAGTTCACCTATTTTTTTATGGTGCTTTCAAAAATGCAGTAAAATACAGGGTGTTCCAATTAAAAATACATAACTTTCATATGGTACGCTTTTCCTGGACACCCTGTATATTTCAAAATATTTTTAGAATGTAGCCGTAATCAACCTACACGTACCCACCTAAACAGGTTTCTATGACATTTGCCGTTTGGTCACTAGCGACCGAGGCGTTACTGGTGGCCCATCCTGTAGAAATATGTACTTACTGATTTTTTATTTATTACATGAGTCGTCGTAACATATGCAAATAGGAACGCGCTGTGTAAATAAATCAACAATATATTTTTTTCTTTTTAAATATACCTACATCAATTTCCTGACCATATAATTATATTCCTGAATTTATTTACTTTGTCAATAAAGTAACTTAATTTATAATATTTTTTCCAATTTGTTTTATTTTACGATCGTTTCGGTTTACCCCATTTGCAAAAAACATCGTAGGTGGTTTATTATATTTTATAAAAATATTATGGCCTGCATAATACTATAAGTTCAATTTTTCAATATATTGTTAATGAAACTATATTCTATTTATTTATTTNAGGTGTGAAAAGTGCTTGGAACAAGGAGGGGGACACTTTCAGCAGCTGCTTTAATTTATTGTTATAACAAGGAGGGGGACACTTTCCGCAGCTCCTTTAATTGTTTGTTATTGTTATCACGATTATTCTTTAAAATAAAGTTATATAGTCATTAACGTTATTGAAACTGGCAGCTGCTATACAGCTCGTTGAGAAATGAGGTTAAGTTGGTCGCTATAAGCTACTCCCTACGTCCAATGTGTCAGAGCCAACTTCTACCACGTTTTTATTTGAACGCTCGTTACATATATGCAGGGCAATGTTAAAATTCCGAGCTTCTTAAATATAGGTCTACAAGACTGATTACTTAGTACGCCAACAATACACCGTAAAATCTTTTTCTGGGCAATAAAAACACTAGAGTTTAATGTGGAATTGCCCCAGAAACAGATACCATACCTTAAACGTGAGTCAATTTGTGCAAAATATAACATTCTAATTTGTCCCCCATTTATAAATGGTCTAATATTTCGAAGTAAATATGTCAAAGAAGAAATTTTCGATATCAAAACTTCACAATGGTACTTCCAATTTAGACATTTTTCTAAGTGAATTCCAAGAAATTTAACAGTTTCGTTTTTTCGTTTAACAAAGTCGAAGGCAAAATTCTAACCAATACATAACATTTGGATTTTTTTATAATAAATCATCTATGATGTTTTTTCTGAAGATGTGGTAAACCCGAAAAGATCTTAAAATAACACATTTTGGAAGAAAATATCAAACTAAGTTATTTTACCGACCAATATCCCAGTAAATAAATTCAGCAATTTTTTTACATTTTGAAATTTCCTCCTACAAGGCAAAAAAGATAACTAAAATTTATTGAATGAAATAAATATATTTATTAATAAATGAGGTAGTGTAAATACAAAAAAAAATTTTTGAAATTAAATTAGTAAGGACAAATAAGTGTGTTATGTTTTAAGCTAGAAGCAGCCTTGCACATAATGTGAGTTGTCTCCAGTGCAGTGATTACGGTAAGCAACCCAGGCATTGAAGCCGTTGCCTGACAGTCTCTGATGTTCCTCGTAGATAGTCTTGGCACAGGCAATGTCATCACCCAAGTAGTCGTTCCTGAAGTCAGCACAGGTCTTCTTGCACGCCTTTCCTGGACCTCCGTGTGCAGTACACCAGTAAATCTCGCTTATCTGGAGGATACCATGGTCGCCGCTGGAGTGATTGATTTGGGAAGTGTCGAAATTTGACTCGTGTTGAGCGATGCAGGTCCAGGTGGGAATCTGCCACTTTGGAACGCCGTATTTCAGCAGCTGATGAGCAAATTCACATTTGCCGTACACCTTCGCTTCAGACAAGCTGAAGCCCACTGTGATAATGACAAGTAGGGTTGTGTAGCTGACCATGTTGAATGTTCAGTAAGACTGATGTAACTGACAGTTGTAAGCTCCGGGCTCTTTTTATACGGCTGCAATCTAGACTAACTCAGCTCTGGAAATTCTAACCGGCGTTGTGGGAAAAGCCCGCATTATACGTGTCTGATAATGTTCACCTGAAATGCATGAAAATAAAAGAAAATATGTCAGCCATCTACGAATAACATAATTTTTGTTCTATTTCTTGTATTATGATTGTGTTGTTATAGAAGTTGATGAATTTAGATTAATGGAAATATATTTCTACATTATTTACTCAACGATGCGGAAAATTTAATTTTCAGGATTTTCATTTGTATTATTCGATATAATTTCGAGCATAATTCACTGAAATAAGAAGATAGTAAATTTGCTACAAAAACACACGTCATTTGCACAAATATTAAATGCCTTTGGTGTTAATTTTAAGTAATAAAATGTCAGGCTGTTAAAAATTCGCTTCTCACTACAGGGATCTCGGAAACGATAAGAGGTATGAAGTAGCTTAAAAGGGGCTTAAGTTGAGTAATCAGGGGACCAACATTATACCAAAAAATCAAGACTACATAGTGATTGATGGTCAAAAATGTAATACAATTTCTAGGGTCGTATTTAAAAAAATAAAGTTGATGGTAGTCCTGGACATATGAACAGTTATACATGGTGCCGAAAATTAGTAGGTCAATCCCTTAACCATAGATAGCTGATATGAAAATAATGGGACTTTCATTATGCCACTTTTCATTTAGGAGCCCCATTTTTGAAATACAGGGTGTCAAAATGTAAATTTCAAAAACGAAATTTGTCGATAACTCCGGTGGAATTAGAGATATTTGTTTGAAATTTNTTTACTCAACGATACGGAAAATTTAATTTTCAGGATTTTCATTTGTATTATTCGATATAATTTCGAGCATAATTCACTGAAATAAGAAGATAGTAAATTTGCTACAAGAACACACGTCATTTGGACAAATATTAAATGCCTTTGGTGTTAATTTTAAGTAATAAAATGTCAGGCTGTTAAAAATTCGCTTCTCACTACAGGGATCTCGGAAACGGTAAGAGGTATGAAGTAGATTAAAAGGGGCTTAAGTTGAGTAATCAGGAGACCAACATTATACCAAAAAATCAAGACTACATAGTGATTGATGGTCAAAAATGTAATACAATTTCTAGGGTCGTATTAAAAAAAATAAAGTTGATGGTAGTCCTGGACATATGAACAGTTATACATGGTGCCGAAAATTAGTAGGTCAATCCGTTAACCATAGATAGCTGATATGAAAATAATGGGACTTTCATTATGCCACTTTTCATTTAGGAGCCCCATTTTTGAAATACAGGGTGTCAAAATGTAAATTTCAAAAACGAAATTTGTCGATAACTCCGGTAGAATTAGAGATATTTGTTTGAAATTTCGCTAATATTTTTTTCTTGTAGAGACACACTTTCAGTATACTTTTGGTAAAAAAAATCAAAGCACGAGCGGAGGTGAGGGGGTTAAAGTGCATTATGACCCCCCCAACTTTTTCATACGCACGCCTATGGTAAAAACATATATTTTCTTAGATAAAGCGGCTTTTATTCTAACTTTTCTTATTCTTGCAAGATTTTGATTTGGAGCCTGGGTTACCAGATATTGTAACTTATTTGGACGGATAGTATGGATTTGGTAACTAGTGTATCCAAAATTAATTTTAATTCGATGTTATTGGGCTATATTCCGAGAGGAAAACACATTACTTTCTTATTTTATAAAAAGTAATGATTGTTCTTGTGCTGTTACAAGAGAAATAAGACGAAAAAATCAATGTTTTGGTAACGGTATTGATAATGAGTGTGGTATAATTTCTTCTTTTTTTCTTTCTTTTGTATACATAAAAAAGTATTTTTTATATCCTATACGGTCCTGTTTTTATTTTTTTATAGTACATCAAATAAAAAAGTTAAAGGGGTGGGACATTATAAATGATCGCCTGGTACAATTCGTTTAAACAATGAAGCATGCCACAAGAAAAATATTCTTAAATATTTCCAACTAATTTTTTAAGGTAAATTTGCAATAGACTTTCAGTACTTAAAAAATGTTTTAATTGTCTAATTTTACGTTTCAAGTAATAAGTTCTATGTAGGCTTTGAAAACAAAGTCAGATAGTTAGGTACATTTGGTTGTCAAAATAATTTATAAGTTAAATAGAAAAAACGTTGTTTAGACATTTTTTAATTGAAGTGTTCAATAAGAAATGGCGAACAGAGAAGGTTTGCTATCATTTTCTGAAATGACCGATATGATTTTAATAATGGGTAAGTACTTATTAAAAGGAATAGGATTTTTTCTTAATAAGTGTTAATTGTAATCTCGAACCTAAACAATTTAATTTCTCTTGCTTTTAGGAAAATGTAACTCTAATGCTAGTTTAGCTGCTAGGCGTTATGCGGACAAATTTCCAACCAGGCACCATCCAAAAAGGAGATTTTTCTTAAGCTTAGTCAACCGTCTGAGAGAATCTGGCAACTTTAAGCATAGGAGGATGGGCCAATGTGGACGGCAACTCAAATTACGTCCAAACGAAGAGGAGCAAATCTTGCAAATTGTCGAAGAAACTCCGAGTATAAGTACGAGGATACTAGCTAATCAAATTAATAATGGTGGCAACAATAATATTAAGTCAGATGATGTGCGACGTGTCTTCAAACAGCAATTACTGTACCCATATCATGTACAAAAAGTGCAGGCACTTCTACCTTTAGATTCAGAAGCAAGAGTCACTTTCTGTAATTGGATATGCCAAGAAAATAATGATAATATTAATTTTAGTAAATTTATTTTATTTTCCGATGAGGCCACGTTTACTCGTAACGGAGTAACGAATATTCATAATACTCATACATGGGCTGCTGAAAATCCGAAATTCATTGTAGAGGCACATCATCAAGTAAGTTTTAAAGTAAACGTATGGGCAGGAATAATTGATAATTTTCTTTTGGGACCGTTTTTTTACCCCCCCGTTTGAATGCCGACGAATTTTTGCATTTTCTGCAAACCTCTTTTGCAGACTTACTTGATGATTTGCCTTTAGCGGTTCGGCAAAATATGTGGTTTCAACTAGATGGGGCTCCGCCACATTATGGCCGAATTGTTCAGAACCATTTAAACCAAATCTTTCCTAACCGCTGGATCGGCCGGGGACGTCTTGCGCCAGTCAAATGGCCACCTCGATCCCCAGACCTTAATCCCTTAGACTTCTGTTTCTGGGGGTTTATGAAAGATTTTGTTTACATGGTTCCAATTGTGGATGAACAACATTTAAGATTAAGAATTTTAGAAGGGGCCGAGCAATTTAGGGTGAAACCACATATTTTTCATAATATTCGTTTCTCCTTTATAAAGAGATGCAGGATGTGCGTCCGCGAAGGTGGTTCTCATGTTGAACATTTAATATAATTTTTCGAATTTAATTTCTGTTTGTAATATAAAATATATGCAGTTTGTTTCATGTTGTTAAATGTTAAATAAAATTTATAGTACAAAACGGATTTTAAACTTTATTAAAATAAGTTACAATATCTGGTAACCCAGGCTCCAAATCAAAATCTTGCAAGAATAAGAAAAGTTAGAATAAAAGCCGCTTTATCTAAGAAAATATAATGTTTTTACCATAGGCGTGCGTATGAAAAAGTTGGGGGGGTCATAATGCTCTTTAACCCTCTCACCTCCGCTCGTGCTTTGATTTTTTTACCAAAAGTATACTGAAAGTGTGTCTCTACAAGAAAAAAATATTAGCGAAATTTCAAACAAATACCTCTAATTCCACCGGAGTTATCGACAAATTTCGTTTTTGAAATTTACATTTTGACACCCTGTATTTCAAAAATGAGGCTCCTAAATGAAAAGTGGCATAATGAAAGTCCCATTATTTTCATATCAGCTATCTATGGTTAACGGATTGACCTACTAATATTCGGCACCCTGTATATAAAAATTGATTATGGCATTCGACAGAGAGCAAAAAGTGGATAAGAAAAAGTTTCTTTTTTTTCAATATCACCTTAAACAAGGCTGAAATGAAATAAAAACGGATTTCCAAAATTTCGTTTTTTTTTCAAATATTTCGAAAACTAATCATGTTAGCCTTGATTTTTTAGAGGCATAATGTTGGTTCCCTGATTACGCAACTTTGCCCCCATTTAAGCTACTTCGTACCTCTTACCGTTTCCGAGATCACTGTAGTAAGAAGCGAATTTGTAACAGTCTGTATGCAGAAGAGATGGGATCAAAACCACCCAAAAGTTCATTTCCAAAACAGTTTTTCACGATATCTTTGATTAAGCAGACATTGCTTTGAAACCAATTGGAGACTGTTTACTATGAAACGCTGATGTTATTTACGGCATTTCGACCCCCAGGAGTTGCATCCCTTATTTTTTATAAAGGTAAAAATATTTTTTTTTCAAAATTTTGCTCTCTAAGAAATGTAAAAATTACAGTTAGAAGTTTAGAAAATATTTATTTATATAGAAGATAGTCAAATAAAATTGACTTATTGTTTAATTATATCTTGATTTTTATGAAAGCTGCTGGGGTTTCTCGTTTCGGAATTAAAAAAAAAATTGATTCTTATTTAAAAACGACAATATTTCGATGTCAATTTATCCATCATAACCTGCTCTGGGCAAAAATTTGTCTTCTTACTTTCAGAGTCAATGTCAAGTATAAGTTTACTATTTTCTAATACAAATAAATATTTTTTGTACAAAAACAGAGATTTCTTGAAAAAACTGATGTTGGAGTTAAACTTTAGGGTTACAATAACAACTAAAAAACAGTAGATGGTGATTTTTGTATGCATGTACTTAAGTTAGGCTAGAAGAGCATATTTTTATATTAATGTATATACCACCATAATTTATATTTTATAATACTTATGGACAATATTGTGTGTTCCACATAAAAGTCAGCCTCGTATCTCGGCAACGGAAAGAGATATTTTGACTT